CGAGGGGGTATTCACTACCATAAAACTTGTACAGAGTACTCGGTATTACACAGAATGATCTGGTATTACCGGGTATTACGCCGGTATTACACGCAAAATTTTGTCAATTTATAGCATTTTTGTTATTTTTCGGTATTACATTACAAGTAATACCCAGGTGGAGTGTACAGGGTATTACGGAAGTAAATACCCCCTCGGCCGCGAATGCTATTATTCAAGAAGAAAAACATATTTTATGAAAGGTACGTGTCTGCTAACCTTGCTTTCACTCTAAATGATTTAAATCCCGATTCATAACCTGTTGTTGCTGGGTTATTTACTTTGTTTTACTTTAACAATTTCTTATGATTTGAAAAACTTTATTTTTATTTTATTCAGATGGAAGTCAAACCTCTAATGACAGGTTCTTGGGGCGGCTTTATTAACTCTGGCGTCACTTGTTATGTTAACTCGACCCTCCAGGTGTGTTAAACGCAGGGATTGACTTATAGAAATATTATGAACTAAAAATAAGATTAACTTTTAATTAATAATGATTATATGAATAGTAATGGCTCTCTCCTAATCTTTACTGTTTCTTTCAATCTGTTGCGTTGTCATCAGTTACTTTTACACATCGACCCGTTTTTTGAGTGGTTGAAGAATTCACAGTTTGATGCGGAGTCGGTTTCCTCTACTGTCAGGGAATTGTCTAAATTACACAGAAGTCAACGTACTGTAGATCCCAAACCGTTACTCTCTTGGCTGAACTGTGAGTTTTCATCTGGTGTCATATGTTTCCTCATTATATTAAATATGTCATTGTGGTTTGCCCTATTTTAATTTTTTACCCTCAGATATTTCTCCAAAACTACGAAATGATACTCAAGAAGACGCCCATGAGTTTCTGGATGGCCTTTTGAAATGTTTCCAGGCGGAAAACCAACACTTGGATAAAAATATTGTGGAATGCACATTTGGTTCCAATCTCACTGTTACAAGTAAGGAATATATTATCTTGAAATACTTTTCTTTGTCTTCTTTTAATTAATTGTATTAATGTACCCTATTATTTGCAGTTACATGTGAAGTATGTACTTACACTTCTTCAGAGAGAAAGGAACTGAATGTGCAGTACTTTTCTCTCCTTATAAATAAAGCAGGTAGTGTGGAAGATGCATTACAGCAGTACTTGCATTCAAGTGGGATGAAATCATACTGCCGTTACTGCAAAAGTGACACTTCTAAAAGGCAAGACACTTCAATTGATAAGTCATCACCCTTTCTAATACTGCATCTGAAGAGGTTCATCATGGGGGAAAATTATGGATCGTCAAAGTTATGTAGGAAAATACAAATTAACAGAGCTGTAAATTTTAATGGGAAGCAATTTAGGCTGGCAGCTATTGTCATGCACCATGGGACATCAATGAACAGTGGCCACTATACTGCATTGTGTCGCAGAGAGGAAGAGTGGTGGCATTACAATGACCACGAGGTTAGTAACAGATGTCATATGTAATTTATTTTGTCTTATGGTTATAAGTGTGATATTAATAGAACTTTCTGAATTTTCAGGCAAAGATGATTCTTATGGATGAGCAGACAATGAAGGGTCTGCAGAGTACTGCTTACCTTCTTCTGTATGAAGATTTGACTGTCCAGACTGCAGACAAAGAAGTTTACACCCCAGGAAAAAGAGGGACCAATCGGTGGGTTTCCTCACCCCTGCAGCCATCAGTGTCACCCAAAGAAACCCCTTCCAAGCAACCTATCAGAAGTTCTGAAAGGGAGTGCAGTAAACCTCTAGGGAAGGTCAAGAGAAAGTTAGACATGGTGAGCATCTCAATTATTGTGTATTTTAGTTCAATTGTTAAAAATAATTTGTCTTAAAAAATATAGTTGACTCACAATCATTTTCTGATTGGCAGGATTCACAACAAAAACACATTGGGAGTGATAATAAAGCTGGCAGTGAACTTACTACAGAGGTACATTAATTTATAAAATTTATAACATTAGTTTTCTACCCCTATTATCACAGACTAAACATCATACTTTAGAAGGCATGGCTCCAATTTCCTAGGAGTGCGCATAAGAAAGTATTCAGGTACCAACAGCCTATTATGTAAAGGAATCAAGGTTGAACGCATTCTCTCCCACATCTTACTGTCAAACTGAATTGTCTGCAGAAACATATCCTTTGGTGACCAAACCACAAAGTCACATTCTTTTAGTTCTAGTAGCCCCATGCTCATTTGAATCTGGTACATATAAGCATGGTCATTTTTAAGTTTCAGCTCTCCATTCTTTGACCTATAGAGGCAGAAACGGCTCTGTTGACTCTTGCTTAGGTATTTTTCAAAGTAGTGTGGGTTACCATGCTTCAGCATCTCTGGGCACTTAATTTCTAAAAGTCTTTTGGGTACAATTTTGGAAGTTACAAGGCCATCTGGGCTGCACCCAAGTTCCATGCATTTTGGATTCCTCCACAAACCAGACTTTTGAACATCCACACTGAAGTCAGTTTCCTTCTTCTTCGACTTGTAACATTTTATGGCCACACTTTCTTTGGTCAGACCATACCTTGTTGCTGAGCTACCTTGAAAATCATTCATGAGCCACAGGTGGTCACGTAAGAAGTCCTTGTAGCCCTGTGGCGTAATGTGACACAGTCTCTTTGCCATAGATGCTGTGAACAAAAGACTTCTTTTGATTGACCAATCTTCGCTCTTGCTTTGTTCTTTTGTTTTTTTTTCTTCAAAATTCTTCTTGTTCTTTGTTGTTCGCATCTCTTTGAGAAACATTTTACAGCACAAAATTGTAATTTTAATAGTGAATTTTGATTCTTCATAAGGGTCATATGTATACTCTAAGTGCAAGTCAAATAGGTACTCTCTCTCTGCATCATTTTCTTGTGGTTCTGTAACATACAACCTTTGCACACCTCTCAACAGATTATGCCGTATATCTCTTAATTGCTGAGGAGTTTTCTTTCAAAATAAGCCCTGAGCTTATGAGTTTCATCTCCGTAGTCTTTGTCCTTCAGATTTCCAGGGTCCCTTACAACAGATCCCTGCCCCCATGTACATGGGCGATCAGTGCATGACATAGCTGTAATGCAAAAATAAAAACAATTAATGAAAAGCATAAACGAACTAACATTTTCCATCTTCTTCTTGTTTCAGGAGATTCCTGATGGTGGGCCATCTTCTCCTAAGGACAAGTCAAAAGAATACAATTTCAAACCAATTAGTTATGAAATGTGCTCCGAAGGCAGTGCTGATGACTTCCGGTACTTTACTGGACTCACAAAAGGACAATTTTTAGTTCTCTATGATTTTATTGGTGGGGATGATGTGTGCAGCAAATTGAAGTATACCTTGGATGGCAAGACACCAATCAGAAGAAATGCATTAAAGATTTCCCTTAAGGGGAGGGTCTACTGAAATCCTTCAAATCTAAACAAGAGACAATATCAAAAAAGTGGTTTATAATAGTAGTAGTACTCACTATAAAAACTCATTTAAGCTGTAGAATGTCCAAATCCATCAAAAAACTTTGCGCATAGAACTTTTTTAACTTAAAAGTTTACGTTACTTTCAAAACTTCTGTGCGCACAGTTTTTTGGCAGACTTATGGCATTCTATACCTTAAATTAATCCTAAAAGTGCATACTACAACAATTATAGAGTACTTTTCTGATTTTGTCTCTTGTTTAGATTTTAAATTGATTAATTCAATCAATTAGGTGATTTATCAATTTTTTTAGTATACTCTACCCTTAAGAGCAGGTTGTTCCTAGTTCTTTTGAAATTGAGAAGAGATCTTTCCAATAGAGACATAGGGAAAATAATGGGTCTATCAGCATCCCAAGCAGCAGTCATTTTTACTACCTGGCTTCGACTGTTAGCCCTCTCATTCAAAGAAATTGAAGGAGACCTTGCAGTTTCAGCCAAAAATCAAAACAGAAGGAAACCCCCATGCTACAAGCCATACAAAAACCTGAGGATGATTGTTGACTGCGCTGAGTTTGTTATTGAAAGGTCTAGCAACATGCAGCAGCAAGGTAACACTTTTTCAAATTATAAACATAGAAACACAGCTAAAGTGCTAGTTGCAACGTCATGCCATGGTGGTGTGTCATATGTAAGTGGTGCCTATGAAGGACGAATAACAGATCAAGAAATTGTAATGCAATGTGGATTCCTTGATATACTTGAGAAAGGGGATGCCATCATGGCAGACAGGGGATTCCTCCTGGAGGAAGAAATGGCTAAGAGGGGAGTCAAACTTATTAAACCACCAAACATGACAAGGAAACAGAAGAATAATGAGAGGAGGAAGAGGTTCACTGCAAGCGAAGAGGTTCAAACCAAAAGTATTGCTGGTGTAAGAATATATGTAGAACATGTGATTGGAAAAGTTAGGAATTACCAAATTTTAGACAACAAGGTAGAACTTTTATATCTGCCATTGTTACCTGACATGATTTTTGTAGCTTCATGTCTCTTCAATTTTAGTAAATGCTACATTGGAAAAAGCCCACTGTCAGGTGACAAAAATCCAACCAAAGATTTGCCCAGTGACAAGCAACCGAATACTACATTGGAAAAAGACCACTGTCAGGTGACAGAAAATGCAACCAAAGATTTGCCCAGTGACAAGCAACCGAAAGACTGAGAACTGTAACCTGTGACTTAGATAATTTCTAATATTTTGTTAAATTTAATTATTACTTTTATTGTGAGTATTGAATTGTTAGGAAGGTGTTTTAAACAATATTTTTTATATTGATGATTACTTAAGAATTGTTTTTAGTATTGTAATTAAAATAGAAGTTACCTTTGTATCCATTTGCCTCAATGTGCCTTGTAAGGAACAGGAGAAGAGCTGCAACATGGCTGCACCTCCCTAGCTCTGGGGACTTGCATGAGCATGTACAATTCTTCACACTACCAGATATGTTTCTTATCGTAGCAGTAGGATAATAAATGGCGTCTCTCATTGATGCTTGAACTCTTGATTTCAGGAAGTAGAAATCAGTGGTCCTGTTGTCCATCACTTCTAAAATATTTCCACTAACAAGAAATCTCATTCCTTTCCTGGCAATGTCAGTTTGTCCTACATCATCAGCTAAAATGTCATCCTCTTCCTGTGAAGCAGATAACAGTACATTAAAAGCTGAGGTCCAATTTGGTGCAGTTTCTACCAGATAGACATGGGCATGTCCCTAGTTATACAACACTGGGATTTCCGAGCTAAGGAAAGGTCCCCAGTCCTTTAGCACTGGCAGCATTGGGGGAAAAGAATCAGGATTCTAAAAGAGAAAAGAGTTATCATAAATTTTAATTACTGGCTATACTTACAGTATGCAGGTGACAATTAACTTTACACAGACATACCTGTTTTCGAAGTTCCTCTCTTTTGAGGTCATACCATTTGTAGTTGTCTAATACTACTGTCTATAATGTCGCAAGCACCTGATGCCAAGCAGGACTGAACCCTAACAAAATAAAAAGCAAGTTTTTTCACACATGCCTCTTTTTTTATGAAAAGACCAAACAATGTGTAACTCACTTGAAAAAGAAACATACTTGCTTTCAATAGCGTTCCTTTTTCCTGTTGTCTTTTGCCCTCTACACTTTAACCAGCGTCTTAGGTCTTTAAGTTTCATAAGTGTCAAATCCTGGAAAGGCAAAACAGCTCCAGGCACGGCATCCTGTGTTAGCAGTGGGTCATACACATCCAAGTTCAGACTTTCTGCTGCGGCCAGCTGATAAAGTAAAAGTAAGTAACTTTATGTAATGTACGTTACAAACACCCATAAATTTATTGTTGTTGAGAGATACCTACCTCTTTTGTCAAGTCTGCAGGCACAGTCGGAGCCCACTTCTTTTTCTTTTTTTTGCTCTTCTTGTGAGCCGAAGGAGGGTCCAATGCCATCTCACTCATTTGATCCTGAAATTAAATAGAACATTGTCAATCACAAGATTTAGAAAAGGAGGCTCAATTATGTAAGCACATAATCTGATCACTGGAGTAATAGGCTTCGCTATCGCTCAGCCAACCAGTCTACAATAAGCAGAAGAATTAATTAATTTAGCCAAATCTTTTACCTGTTTCAGAGACAGAAATACCAAATATAGATTCAATAATTTCTTCCTGACATTCATTCTCTTCCAATATTTTGCCTAACACTTGAAACATAACGTCAATCAAGGTTGGCCTCACATCAGGGGTAGGTAAAGAAAGTCCTATACAGATTTTGGATGTAAATCAGGTTTTAAAACAATGTAACTAAATTTAATTCGAGAACCATTAATGTAAAATTATCTACCCAATACTTACTGTTCAGCAAAGGCTCTGGATCAACTGTAATTCTGGACCTATGCTGTTTGCAGAGATCAGCCACTTCTTCGACAAAGCTCCCCTCTGGAAACGTCTTGCTCAACAGCCAATTTGCGAAAGGCTCTGCATGGAATAAAACCTGAAATGAAAATTAAATGAAGACAATCATGAAAGGATACTGTTACATTTAGTAAGGAAATATATGACTCGTTACTTTTACACAGCATACCTGTAAAATAGCACCCAATTCACCTGAGTTGCCAAAGTTAATAAACCCAGCTCTAGGTTGTGGGTAGCGGTCAACTGTCACACCTTTAGAAGATTTATCACTCGGATTGAGTGGGTGACACTTCCATCCTCTTCTGCTTGGACTGCACCGAATTTCTGGATCATCCACTGACTCCTCATCCATGGTAGAATCCATGGTGAACCTTATCGATATACAACATTAATTTTAGTGCATCATAAAATAGTTCGACTACATGTCAGCACATACACGACACACATAAAGGTACAAATATGTTTAAAGAACATTAGAAAATGCCAAACAATACTTTAGAATGAGTACTTTGTAAACTTTGAGCATAAATAAACATATGCGTGAGGTTATAAACCCGGAAAACAACTCCACTTTAAAACATTTACTGCAAGATGAATATTACAGGACACATACCTGTAATGAAGTGGACTCTTCTTCTTATTTTGAATATTTCTTTCACACAAATACGCCAAATAGAGTTAATTTGTTTAATATTCGTCTCTCCGATTTATTATAACGTGATTCACTCGTGAATATCCACAAGAACTAGCTTTCAAGCAGACACCAGTGAGCCTAAAACTAAGGCACAATGTCAAAATTGCTATAAATGACTCGTGCAGTGTGATGGATGCTCCGGCATACAGTGGAGAGTCGCCTTGTTCAATCACTGTTTCCTCTTCAATACCATCAACATTTTCTTCAATATTTGCAAGATAATTTTCAGCATCTAGCTCATGACTGTCCTCTTCTAGAATCATAAAATTACAAGCGCTTGCTAGTTTTTCATCCGGTGTGTTGAATATATTTAAGGCTATATCCCCAGAATCTTCAAGTGGCAGAAAGGGGTCAGGAGACTCCTCAATAGAATTGATAGAATCCGTAACGGCCTGCCTTCTATATTTTCTTTTCTGATTCCTTTCCTTGATTGAGCCTTCTTCTTCTTCAATAGTACAGTTTACAAGATCTGCTGGTGAGAAATAACACAAATATAATATTGGAAAAAAAATAAAATCCTTACAAATCTACAAATATTGCATGTGATTAAAATCATTTAGTACAATAGAATAAAATAATTAAGTGTTATCCAAATTAGCATACCTGTGTCAATCACATGTGGTGATTCCGATGGATTGGTCTGCTTCTGTTGGAGGTATCCTTCACAATCACCAAGCAATTCAGTATTCCTCTCAGGTGAGGGTTGAAATTTAAATGTCCCCGTATGAAATCCTGTGATCAGAGGAGATAGGTTAAATAAAATCTTGGGTCACTGTACTTGGAGAGGAAAATTATCTTAGAACATTACCAAGAGTAGGCGTACTCTGGTCAAACAGGTGTGATGGTTCAGATGTTTTCTCATCAAACTGTTTGTCTGGCTCCATACAGTCCAACAAATATGAAGTTTCATCATGCTTGGGTGACATGTTGTAAGCAGTATTGAATCCTGTTGTTAGAAGAATAAACATTAAAGCAGACAGGATCTTAGAGATTATATGTGTTTACTCAATTGCAAAAATAAATAGTAAGAAAAATATTTCAGATCATGCAGGCAAAAGCTTCCATACCCAGGTCGACCAAATATGCTTCAGGTGGAATGGTACAATCTTTTGCAGCTTCTTGTTGAGTCCCTACCCGCCTCTGAGCCAACAAATTTTTAGGAGAATCTTCATTGTCTGTGGATTTAGTTGGAGATAAAGATTCAAATGTGGAGAAAGTGCTACCTCCTGTTGGACAAAAAAATAAATTTGATAAGCAATTCCAATCAAACATAATTTTTTAAAAATAAGAATGATGAACATAGTTTCGAACAATGTCCTGATGCATCACATATTATTTCAAACTGACCAGGCTCCAGAAACTCAATGGGCAGGTTGATATCTGGTTCTACTTCAGGCTGAGGTTCTAGCCTGCTTGTGCTTGGGGATTCATAATTTAACCGTTGTTCATCGTGTTCATACCTGAGATATTAAAGAGACCAAAACAATAGTGAGTAAAAGTAAAAGGCCGTAGGAAACATGCGTTGCTAAACAGATACAAATGACAAGAAACAAACGTGGTTGCAGCTTCAGTTACAGTCAGAGAATGTTCTCAGGAACAACTTGGAGGACTTCGGATGAATCAAGCTAAACTCTTGTTCTATCTGAAAATTAAATTTGAAAATATTAGTACAAATCATTTGTGAAGGAGAGAGTAAATGCAATGAAGTGCCAACATGAAAAGGCAGCATGCGACAACGCTCAACACATTCCAAAATGACAGAGGAATGAAAATGATCAAATTGTTGGCATTTTAAGTGTCAGAGATAATTACCACTTCTCCTTCAAACGAAAAAAAGTGGGGATATCTATCAAGAGTGAAGTCTGGTGACACCTTCTTAAATTCTAGCTCCTGTCTTCTTCTTTCAAAGGTTTTCCCCATCAAAGACATTATATTGGCCTTTTCAGCAAAAGTAGGCATAAGGTTTCTGGCCTCCATGACCTAAATGAAAAACAGTGGTCAGAACACCTTTCATCAGAATAGAAAAAGTAAAATTCATTGAAGAGACTCACATTTCTAACAAATTCAGGTGGATCAGGGTCTTCAAGATCATTATTTTGATGCTTATTTACTGGTAGCTCAATTAACTTCCGTGGGGTTTTTCTCAGCATGAAAGAAGTAAGTCTATTGGCACCTGCAATGGAAAATAGATTAGATTGACCAGATAAGAAATAGCAAAAAGATTCATTTTTAAACCTACTGACTTACCACAATGCCACAACTTAGGCACGTGTTCTTGGTGCTAAGTACTCCTTATGAGAGAAAGGGCCAGATCGTTTCCAAATTGCAAGAAGGCGATATGAGGGAAAACTTGCTGGAGTCCTTATAGTGTAGGCAGTGCCTTGTTCTTGAACTTCAAAAGCACAATATTTAGCTTCAAAGCGTACTATGTTCCAATCTCTGGTAACAAGATACATATTCTCTTGGTTTTCAGACACATAAATGGCATGAATTTGAGTGAATTTGGGGTGAACCCGGGTGAACCCCTGGTTTCTGTAATGCAGTAACTGCAAACAAGAGAGGTCTGTAGATTACACAGCTAAATCATTCATCAAAGACTGCACATCTATCTGGAGGTCATTTACCATCCGTTTCAACGTTACCTTCTCTTTTGAAAGCAAATCTACAGCCTCCCTTTTCTCGTTAGCTCATCAGCTATTTTTCTAGCCAATTTGCAACCAGTGGAGAGACTTCTTTTAAAGACAACTATTGGAGGGCCTGCAGGAGTGGTTACTGCAAAACTTCTCTCCTGAGAAACAGGTTGAGGTGGCCCTGGTGGGTAAAATGACTCCATAGACTTCTCTTGCTCATCGTCAAGAACATTTCTGGTCCGAGTTCCTGCAATCATATTAAACGGTACTTTTAGCGCTCATCAAATATTAATTACATATAATTTACTCATACAATACACTTTTAAATGCCTCTCCCCCCATGCGTCTCTAAATGACCATGGTCTTTCAAATAACTAATTTTGGCACTGGACTAAGCATTAAGTACGAAGAAGCAGCTGCAAATTATCTGCAACGCACATTGATTGATTGTTTGGGGGATTACGCAAATAGTACCAGTCGGTTTGCACCCCAACCAGAGAGTAATAAAGTTTTCTGTTCCACGAGAATAATATAGAGTAAAATATATGATATGTGATAAAACACTGGCAGTTCACCCATTTGCATAAGTGACCTACAACAGTATTTAACATACTGCATGAACTAGAGGAGTCTACCCATCCAACACCTTTTCAACAAAGCTGACAGTGAGCCAAGTTATTTACATCACGGGCATCATTTACTCGGCCTCAAACAATAATTTACAACTTAATTGTGCGTGTAAACATTGAGCCAGGAGAACACTAACCTCCTACAACAATAACCGGAATGGAACAATTCAATATTCCGGACCGGAAACAATCAAGCACTATACCTTGCGATTAAAATCGAAAAGCGGCGATGTCCACTCTAAAATGCTGGTTAAAATCCTATGATCATCAATTATATGAGTAGGTATTATCGGTATTTGGCAGAAACGCCGATCGTTGACACCGATTTCCACTGTTTGTTTACGTTTCCATAAAGGCGCAAGATTAGTTTGCCACTACTACACAGGTTAACCGATTTTAATTCGATGATTCGATGAAAATTATTCTCCACCTGTCGATTAACCGATAAGCCATTATTTTTTAATAAATAAATAATAAATACAATAAACACCAACAGAGGGACGACTCGCGATCTGGGCAAACAGCAACAGCAACCATCTCAAAGTAGTGCCAAATTGCACGACGGCCGGAAAACCCAAACACGCTAACTTTTCGTGCCTGCTGACACTTAAACATAATTATTTTCACTAAGATATTAATACTGTTTGAATTCCCGATTGTTTCTACACAGCATACTGTGAAAATATACTCCAAAAGTTCAACATGAAATATTTTTATTTTTCGTATCAAACCTTACCTTAGTAATTTTTCCCGTATTTTGTTCGTATATTTGTTTGGACATGAATGGTACGCTTTGTGACTACTTAGGTTAGTCGTCTCTTTTACAATGTGAATTTGATCAAGTGTGATGTGCTAGCATTGATCAACATAGGTAATAATCGTTCTATATAAACTCGTTAGTATACTGATCTAATTATTTCATTCTTTTCGGTTGTGGAATACTCAAACGGCTATGTCCAGAATTATGGACATTGGTCCTTGAGTCAACAGTTGGAATGAAACAGTTGTTATTATGTTTATCCCTCTCTTATTTTTCAAAGTTTTCATCACTACAGAAAAAAATTATTTATTTTTATGCTCTGCTGTAATACATTTTCCATAGAAATCAAAAACTAAAATTTCACAGTGTCAATTTACTGATTTGTACATTCTTTGTTGTAGGAAATATGAAACCTATCAGGGCAACAAGTTTCTACTCCAGTAAACGACCAGATCTTCGCATTATTGTCCCAGGTGACAATCATGTTTCAGAAGATTCTGACTGCGACTCTGAGCCTGAGTCAAGTACTTCTCAATTTCGCAAGAGACGGTTCATTGATGATCCCACGGTCATTCCTCCATCAGAATCAGACAATGAATCACAGGCAAGCGTGCCTTCTAAACCTGCAAGAAGAAAGATAAAGAAAGTTATTTCTAGTGCCAAGGTTGACAGGTAAATTTTGTATAATGTTTATATTGTACTTTTCACAAGCTTGTCTATTATTGTTTTGGTTTTGACTTAAATTTTTTGACAGATATTCTGAATTTGAAAGAAGAATGCAACAAAAGAGAGGAGAGAAACAGTCCAACAGTATTGCAAGGAAACTTGACTATCTGCCAACCAGTACCCCACTGCAGAAAAAGTGTGATCCCTCTTCGAAAAGAGTTCCTTTATCTGAGATTAATTCGGAAGTACAAAGTTCTTCAACAGTTCAAGGTAGTGGTTCAAAGATCTCAGACAGAAGTCTAGATTGTAGCCAGGATTTTACTTTACGTTTTCAACTTTCTCAAGATAACGACCTGACAGAAGACCAGCACCATCGTCCACCATCAGAGTCTCTGGCGCGTTCTGAATCTGAAGATCTCTTCAGTGAGTCAGACTTAGAAAGTAAACAGGCCAATCATTCTGAAGATCTCTTTAGTGAGCTAGGGGTTGAATCACTTCAAAATAAAAGTAAAGAGTCCAGCCCAACTAATCAACCTCATCAGAATGGAAGACGGGCCATTAGTACTCCTCCACCTGTCAGAGGTAATACTTGTGCAACAAGAAGACGTACTTCTAGCATATCAAATGTTAATGCGAAGCCTTCTGATACTGGATTTGTTGATGAGTCCTCAATCACTCAGTCTCCTGCATCTGTAGTTTCTTCTGCATTACTTTCTGCTAACAAACCTGAAAAAAGAAAAAGCAAAACAGATAATGAAGAACATGTTTCCAAAAAGAAGTCACTGCGAGGTAAAATTGTGATTGAAGATAAAGAGAACAGTCCAGTCAAAACATCCTGTTTGAGATCAAGTCGGTCAACCGCTGCTGTACCGTTTGGGAAGAAAACTGATGGTGCATCTATCAGTAGTAATCCTACAGTTTTAAATAGTGTCTCATCTGATAATGCGGAACTCAATGATAGTGCATTTCTTTCTGAGCCTTCAGTCACTCAGACACCAAGAGCTTCAGCTTCAACTTCATCTTCCCATGTAGCACGGCGATATCGGGCGATGATGAGTCGCCTGGAAGTTGGAGCGGCGATGACTTGGCGATATCATTTAAACCATGTAAGTATGACTGTACTGGAGTAGCAACTAAGAACGTTGAAATGTGCGCCGCGCTGGCTGGCGAAGCTATCTCCTCTGAAGCCAATGTGCTTAGAAATCTCACCCACTCAATTTTTGAAAGCCTATGGTCTACTGCAACTAATGATGCCCGTGTTTTGAGTGTAGCATCATTCAAACCGGAGCTACGACGCCTGGAACGCCGCAGACCCGTTTTCTGCCATCTGCCACCGGTGAATGTAGAAAGAGACAGACAGAGTGAGGGTCATGTTTCTTCGAAAGGGGCCACTGAATTATAAGATTTTACTTCAAATCCTTCTTTTTGTACACAATCGTGAAGCCCCTGGACGTCGCAGTCTCAAACTGTTATTATTTCATGGACATTCATGACCCTCACTCTGTCTGTCTCTTTCTACATTCACGGGTGGCAGATGGCAGAAAACGGGTCTGCGGCGTTCCAGGCGTCGTAGCTCCGGTTTGAATGATGCTACACTCAAAACACGGGCATCATTAGTTGCAGTAGACCATAGGCTTTAAAAAATTGAGTGGGTGAGATTTCTAAGCACATTGGCTTCAGAGGAGATAGCTTCGCCAGCCAGCGCGGCGCACATTTCAACGTACTTAGTTGCTACTCCAGTACAGTCATACTTACATGTTTAAACACTATCGCCTGGCGGAGAGCGAGGCGACATCCTGTCGATGTCTACTCTAATACATACTTTTGTGGATATCTGTTCGATATTCTCTAAATAAAATGTACCAGATGTCGCCATGCTGTCGCTTACGTTTATCGCCTCGACCTACCGATGGCGTTTTCGCCCTGGCGATGGTGACACGATAACTAGTAGATGTGGAAATAGGATCAAATTAATGCTCGCCAAAACTCTATCGCTAGGATATCCGTCATTAGATGACGCTCAGGCGATAATTTTCCGATAACTATGCGCTGTGGAACTTTCCACCAAATTAACTTTTGGTGCCTAGAGTTATCGCCGCGATATGGGATAAAGTATGTCGCTCACCAGATGAAAAAGAATTATTGCTTGCATGAAATATTTTGATAAGCTGGCGATATCTTGACCTGGCGAGAGAACACCTGGGCTAGCGCCTCAAGAGCAATGTGGCGATAACTCGGCGACATGATCGTAGCACTGATGCGGGGTAGATATCGAGGCGCTATTCTTTCTGTATGTCCAATATTAACCACAAATACGCACATGTACGGATATCTGTCAGATATTCTCTGGTTAGCAAGCTACTAGTATCGCACGGCTGACGAATTTCGCTAAGTCCTCCACATGCATTTTCGCCCTGGCGATGACTTGGAGATATCTGAAAAATGTCTGAGCCGACTCGCTGGTCTGCTGGTCGGTCGCTCGCGGGCGGGAAAGTCCCCAAGAAAGAGAGGGACACCGGTAGCTGGCGCCCGGCTCTCAGCGGGTACCCCGTAGCTGAATGGTCAAGGCAGCTGTCCAGTAACACAAAGGTATGTGGTTCGAGTCTAGCCAAGGTCAATTCTTTCATTTTTTTTTATCGAATTATAGTTCCGAATATATATTGCCTCAATATCGCTATTTTGTCGCCTAAAATATACCGCCGGTTTGCAAACGTGGCGATGTCTAGGCGACGACTGCTCTGATGCACCACCTGCTATGAGTTTGCGTGACACCCTGGCATCAGCTGTTGCCTCGGCTGTTCCTGGGTCATCTACAGGAGCAGCTCTTCGGCCTTCTTCAGCAACACGACCAACTCCTCGGCCGTCTTCAGCAGCAGGATCAGCTGGGCCTTCTTCAGCAGCAGAGGCAGCCGCTGCTTCATCACTTGTTGGAATGCGGTATCCCTTCGGGTTGGCAGCGGATAGGGCCCGGGCCCGGGCGAGTGCTCAGCAGCTGCTCCAGAGGTCGTGCTGGGGGCGGGGGCATTGCCATGCCACCACCACCACCACCTGCTCCAGCTGCTGTGCAGTTGGGCATCTGCTCTATCTGTTTGGACAGGCCCTTTCAAGCACTGTTGAGGTGCCACCATTTCTTCTGTCTTGTGTGTGTTGTGCAGATAAAAGAGCCCAGGCAGACGTGCGCCACATGCCGGAAGCCATTTCGAAAGTGGAAGGTGGTTTATGGATAGTGTAGCAGTAAAGTCTGAAGTTGACCCCGCTGTAAGTTATCAGACTATTTTAACGGGGTGTGGTTCCTTGCTCTTTAATTGGCTGAGCGATTAGCGAAGCCCATTACTCCACTGACCGAAAAAGTTTCATTCTGTTTGTTTGTGTGTTTGTTTGTGTGCTTGTCTGTCTGTCCGCACGATAACTCGAGAACGAATTGAGCTAGCGACCTGAAATTTTCAGGGACGTTTTGTGTCATAAAAAGACAGATCGAGTTCGAAGATGAGCATTCTAGCTCAAAAATTGGCCTTTTATAAATCAAAAACTACAGGTCGCAAAATGTATTTTTACCAAATATTTTTTTAAGGGTCCCTGAGGGGTAAACCGTCAAAGGAGAGTCCTATGGCCGAAAATTTCGTCCGTTTTGCTCTATCTTGTACCGTTTCGGCGCTATGGGGCATTTCTTGGCGAAAAAAAGAGAAAAGGACAAAACGGTCCATTAAATCGTAAAAAGGCTGCATGTCACTACTTAAACCACAGGTCGCACTACACCCTCTTTTGGGCTTAAGGGTCCCTAGATTACCTAGTATCTCTAAAACGTTGAGTTTTACACAACAATCTGTCAAAATTCAAACTTTTAATGAAAACAGTTACCGAACAGCAGAAGTTTCAAGTCCCTAATTTAAGAGTAAAAAGGCCCCGACAAATGGTTCGAGTATGTCAAATTTTGGCCCCGGAAGGCCCTGTTCCCCAATACCCTCTCCTTAACTCGTCTCGGGTGTCAGCGCCGCAGGCCTAGCTATATGTGCGCCAGGCGCGTCGCAGCGTAACAGTGTTTCGTGAGATATCGCGAAGCCTGTTACGCGAGACGTGGTCTGGCGTACATGTAGCTAGTTGGCTGAGCGATTAGCGAAGCCCATTACTCCACTGACCGAAAAAGTTTCATTCTGTTTGTCTGTCTGTTTGACTGTCCGCACGATAACTCGAGAATGAATTGAGAGAGCGATCTGGGAATTTCAGGGTCGTTTTGTATCATAAAAAGACAGATCGAGTTCGAAGATGAGCATTGTAGCTCAAAAATTGACATTTTAATAAATCGAAAACCAAAGGTTGCAAAATATTTATTTATTTCCAACTATTTTTTATGGGCTCCTGTGAGGTAACTAGTTTTGCTCTATCTTGAACCGTTTTGGCGCTAGGGGTCATTTCTGGGCAAAAACAACGTGAAAAAGACAGAATGGTCTATTAAATCGTAAAAAAGACTTCATGTCACAGAATTGTAAAGGGATTCATACTTAAACCACACATTAAGGGTCGAATCACACCCTCTTTTGGGCCCCAAGGGTCCCTAGATTATCTAGTATAACTAAAACGTCGATTTTTACAAAACAATCTGATAAAAATTCGAACTTATAATGAAAACCGTTACCGAAGAGCAGAAGATTTGTATCCCTAATTTTAGAGTAAAAAGGCCCCTACAAATGGTTTCGGTATGTCAAATTTTGGGCCCGGAAGGCCCTGTTCCCCTACACCGTCCTATTTGCTCGTCTCGGGTGTCAGCGCCGCAGGCCTAGCTATATGTGCGCTAGGCGCGTCGCAGCGTAACAGTGTTTCGTGAGATATCGCGAAGCCTGTTACGCGAGACGTGGTCTGGCGTACATATAGCTAGTTGTATGGATATTCCTTCACCAGAGTTTTTCCTTGTGTGGGAAGAATACACCCGTGATTCTTAAACATGTAAGCGTAAAGTTTTTTTTTCTAGTCCTAAGCCAATGTCTCTAGTCAGATAAAGTATCACAGGTGTATGGTTACAACTCTTCTGCTTAGAAAACGTTTTAATGATGTAGTAGGGGGAGAGTTTCTTTCCTATTTTGAGGTTTTTAAGCCTTTTTCTTTAACTTATTGTGCACTATGGCAACTTTTAGCCCATCAGGAGGTCCTAAAAAAATACTTTTCCCAACTTTTTCGGCCCTTCCTGTTTTCTTCGATACCCCCTTTCAGCTCCTTAGGGGTAGCTGGCAGGATTTGCCGTAGGCGTTTTGTTTTGTGGGAGTGAACCTTGAGATCCCCTGAAAATTTGAAGTCTCTAGCACATCTCCTTCTTGTGTAACAGAGAGACAGACACACAGACAGACACGAGGTCGTTTGCATAAGCCCGCTGGGTAGCTTTTTCAAAGCAGAAGGGCGGGCTAAAAACCTCAAAAATGAGCTACCACCGAGGTCGATACGATCACTCTGTGAGCTGTGACATCGGAATAGGGTATTCCAGGCTATCCAAAACGGAAGTAGGAAAAGAACAAACTCACTGACTTTTCTGTTTCCGTGATGGCTCTGATTGGTTCAGCTGATCACGTACCACGACGGCGTTTCAGGTATGAAAAACCGTCAGGTCAGTTTCGAGCTCGCCTCCGTATTTGAGAGGTTAGGTTCGGACCAAACTACCATGGCAATTTCTCATACTGAGCGGACGGAAGCAGATTAATGGGTGAGTTT